CTTTTGTTTCTTCGCGGTATCGTCCGAACGAAAACTTCAGGAGTTTGTTTGAATTAAGTTTTGAAGAACTTCAAATCTTCTTTTTAATGAGAAGTTGCGTAACTCTCTACGACTTTTTCTCAAAAAGTTATAACGTTTTGAAGTCCCCTATAAACGGTAACGCAATCAGCTTTTCGGTAGGAGAGTTACTCACATCAGTCAATTCAGTTTTTGATGCTGATTCCAAATATGACATTTGTTTTGCAAAAAAATGGAAGTTTGATAGTGAAAACTGCAAAATACGAGTACGTTTCCTTGGTTTTTGCTAAGGTGTTTACCTATGGTGAAAGAAACAGCTTCCTGTTTCGCATAAGAACTATCTAAACATAAGGCTTTGTAGCGAAGAAAAAACTCTACAAAATAGGAGTCGTGTCTGGTTTTTTTACTCAGCGCATTTATACTCAAATATGCACTTGATTTGCAAAAAGTCTCAACTTCGTGGTTTACCATAGATATTATATGTAAGGCAATGAACACTTCTAAAATAGACTATTCGATGCAGTTTTATTGGTAGATTACAGATATGGTATTAGTTTTTATTAGAAGCGGAAAATGAGTGAAAAAAAATTGAAGTTTACATTCGTTATGGATGCAAACAACCTTCATATTTTTGAAAAACAATTTTTTTCACCAATTACGATAAAGACAATATGCTATTTTTATTGTCTAAAACTGAATCTTATTCAAAGACGCAATTTTTAAGCTCAAAACTGGAGATGGGTTATTTTTAAAACATGACATAAATTAATTTTGTGATGACAAATACCTCTTTTCCTACAAAACGCCTATACTTCGAAACTCTACTTTTCCTCTCCTAATGGTCCAATCAAAAAAAAGGAAAAACACCAATCGATGCGCCTTTGCTTCCTCTATCTAACTGTATGTATTTCATTCCTGTTTGAAAGAGGCTGATATATACGAAAAACCGGTGGGGTCCTTTTACTAATATACGTTAGAGGATTTCCATCAAAAGTCGCCTTTTTTCAAAAATTGTTTTTTAGAATATGAACATACAGCCTAAATTATGTCTCTTCAGATCTATCCCGAGATTCTTTTGAAATTTTTTCAGTAAAGGTAATGGGTGTTTTCACGACTATTTCGTAGTGGTCTAATAGAAATAAAGAAAATAATTGTATTTGTTCGATCGTTCAAACACACTGTAAAAAAAAGTCACATCAAATCCGTGGCAAAGTCACATTTAAAATGTTGTTTTTTCGGGATGTTACACTTTTACCGTTGGCTTCCACTTCTTTAACGTTGAATGGAATGGCGCTACCGTGACATCAGGATAAAACGTTATTTTCAACGTTTTTGCCGTCAACTGTTGCAGTCACATTTTTCCCGTTTCAAATCACAGATTTTCAGCGTCATGACAAATGCTAGACAGTGTTTCTAATGATTGGTGGTATCTGCGAAAGCAAAGCGATCTTCCACTTTGTAAAAGTCGTTTCCCATTCTGTTTTTCACTTGGAAAATGAAGAAAACTATTTTACAGGCCACTTCGCTTTTTCTGATCAGGACTAATTTTTCGATGATGATTAATCTTATTAGCTTAATCCCTTTTATCACATAGAGGTACAACTGTCTGTTTGTCCGACCGTCAGACCAACGAGTTGGTTTACAGTAGTTTTAAGCAAATACTAGACTGTCACATTACTTAATAAATTCCATAACGGCCATTTTCCGTTGTTTCAAATAAAAACATTTAGCCATGAAAAGTCATTAGCCGTATCAATAACGACGATTTTTACTTTCTTCTTTATCGTTGTTGTTCTGTGTTCCTTATTTTATGAACTATGCTGAAGAATTAAAGATAAATTGTTCTGTATGTCGCTTTTGCTTCGAGGAAGTTCAAGAGTGGACCTAGCCGACGCTAAGATCGCCGAAGAGGTCTAAATTTTTATTTGTATTTTTATGTTTTATTACTGTGAATTTTTACTTTTTTGTTCGTTTTCTACAAGCTTCCTTAACTTTTATAAACTGTACAGTAAAAGTAAAATAAAAGTTATCTGGCCGCAACGGTCAAATTCCTCAACATTTTCTAAAACATACGAACACTATAAATTTGAAAAAAGAAAAGTCCGTGGTTTTTTCACCTACTTTTCTCTGAATCATCTACTAAAGTTCGTTCCATCATTGAGTAAGGTCCGTGAAGTATGTAATCATGGGCTTTTCAACTCGGAAGTTGCCAGTCAGATCTGTAATTTTTCACTTACTTTAATCCATATTTTTACGGATCTCACTGATAACTTCCGGATTGAAAAGCCTGTGATTACATACTTCATGAACCCTACTCAATGATGGAACGAACTTCTGTATGTGATTCAGAGAAAAGTAGGTGAACAAATCACGGACTTTTCTTTTTTCAAATCTACAGTGACATGTAACGCGAAAAATATCACATTACCTTCATCCCACTGATCTATTTTAACTAATGAAAAGTAATGTCACGGAAAATCCGTTTTTAGATGTCATTAAGATGTGACATTACCACAGAAAAAACGTTCACAAAATATATATAAAGTCACAGTTAACCCTTTGAGTACCATTGCTCGACCATGATAGCTAGAGATCTCTAATTTTGTGTGATCATAACTCTTACTGAATGCTGATCACCCACCAAGTTTGGGTCTCTTTTACTAGATGGTTCGTGAGATGTAAGCGTTTCATTTCTTTTTCGTAAAATGCTAATAACTCCTGATCCAAGAGAGGTGAAAGTTTTTTCATTTTACCAAAATGCCTCCTCTATTTATGGTATGAGTTTGAAATGTTAGCTCTTAATAGTTACTGAAATACAGCTATTTTACGATCGAGGGTCAAATCAAAAATTAGGGAGAAAATATCCATAGATAAAATATGTCAAGAAGACGTCGCACTTAACCTGATTCCCGCTTATTTCATTTATTCTCCGTCTTTTTCACTTCTCATATCTCAACATACTAGAGATCAGCAGACAAAACTGCATCGTCGCATCTCGATATCTTTGCGGTTGCGAGTTATTCAGACTTTATCAAGTCTGAAAAAAGTGTGCCTTATGCTCGTACTTAAAGTGTGCCTCACGCTCGTACTTAAAGGGTTAAAACGTGACATTAGTTTTCATGATGCCACGTTTTTACTGTGACTTTTTATGTTTTTGCCGTTACATTTTTTTACAGTGCATAAACGAAACTTCTATCGAGGCAATTTTTGAAATATACTTTTCATTGTGAAAAAAATCGTAACTCTCTGGAAGTTTCAAATGTAGTTTATCAAGTTGAAGTCAACAGAGAAAGAATTCATAAAATCGCCCGGAGAAAAAACTCAGAAATGGGTGTCAATGCCATTTGGAAACAAATTAGATCGCCATCGCTTCTTTTCCATTCTGAGAAAAAAGCCCTGAATCGCTGAATAATCAACTCTGACCCTCTCGTCATTTATAATCCTGCAGTAATTCCATATTTTCAGTTCTAGTCTTTTTAATATAGCGTATTCAAGGGATAAACATTAACTTCTGAAAGTTTTTTCTAGTTCGGATGGTAGGTATAGCAAAAAGTGTTCTGAGGATAAATAATATCTGTGGTTATACTCATTAACTATGCCTCAAGGATGCGCATGAACATGGACAAGAGACCTTTTTTGCTGGATATCAGGAGGAATTTTATCAATGTGGGCATGAGTATGAGCACAAAAAAAACGTGGGTGTAAGCGAGGAGCCTTCAGTTTTAGACTAATGATACTATTAAGTTCTACTCATAGTAGTCAAGTAAATATTTCAAATTAGTCTAGATAGTAGTAGTAATACAATAGATTTTAGTTTAAAAATTATTCGTGCATCGATCAATTGCATGAGAAACGTTATGAGTTCAAAAAATACAATAAAGATTATTCGAATCGTATTCTCAAAATATTTAGAAATTATTCAGACATAAAACATTGTTCAAATTGTACTAGTGAAATTACTCGCTAAACTCTGTTCTACAAAATAGATTCAAACATTTATTTTTTCTAAAATTTTAAACAGTATTACTAATACAAAATTATGTTGTTGAATATTACAACATTTTAATACATATTTTATCCTTGTTTTTCTGTTATGTGGATGCATCTACATATTTATATATAGATATATAGTCAAAAACAAAGTATTAAATAAAAACAATTAAAAGAAAACAAAACAACATTAGATACCGGATATAGAAATATTGTTACCTACGCAACAACTCTAAACAACAAAACATCAAAATGCGTAGAAAAAAGAAATATATGTTTAGTTTGGAAGAATATATAGCAAAAGAAACAAAATAAAATAACAACAATACACCATCACCACCACCAATAACAACAAAAAAATAAAAATAAACTCACAAAGACCATAGACATAAGTTTTTTTGTTAGAGAAAACACACAGACATATTTAGAAGAGTTAAAAAAGAGATGATATCAGTTTAATGAATTCAATTGCGAAGAAATAGATAAAATCTCTATTGTACTGGAAAAAAAAATTGACACAGATTCAAGTTAGAAATAGTACAGATCTCTTTGAGAAAGATAAATGGACCGTAAAAGACAACGGGTAATGCGAAATTTTTCTTCGAAAAATAGATCAAAATTAGTGAAAAATATGATCAATGCAAGGGCTATGCAAGATGTCAGTGTGCACACGAAAAAAACTGAAATTATCTTTACTAGATCAGAAAGAAAAAATTCAAATTATTTTTTGATAATAATAGAACTTTCAATGTGGTCTTTTTTTTTCACAAAAAATATTTTTCGAAGAAAAGTCAGTGAATGAAGAGAAAACAGTAGGAATTGTTCTAAAATAAACACATGTGCTGAGATTATGAACTATATACACTCTCGTTTTTACACAAAGTAATAGCGGACGTTTGATCAATATAAATATTAAAAAAATATGATCATCTGAGGCAAAACAACACGCTAACAAAATGATAAGAAATATTTTGGAATTGTCAACATTTAACTCAATTTTCTTGTTTTCGGAAGTTAATTTTCTGTTCGTGCTCATCTTCAAATATGTCATTGTCTTTAACTCTTTTATTTGACGAGTTATCTTCAACATTATTATCATCAATATTTTCTAATCGTTTTTGCGGTAAATTTTTTTTATTTTCAATAGAGGGTTCTTCTTCATTTAACCGAGCAACAGGTAGTTGTTGGGGTATATTGTCGTTTAAGTTTTGCTCAGGATGTTTATTAACGTTATTTTTATCGTTATCATCCGCTTCTTCTTCGACGATGTTAGAGGGTATATTTTTCAACTGATCATTTAACTAGAACAGAAATAAACAATAGTAAGAAGTCACATATTTTATTTATAATTGTATTAATCCTGATAGAACTGAATTTCTAAATAATCCACTATATTTGTGTATATAACGATCTTCT